AAGTAACAGGATTCCAATCACTGTTGTAGTATAGGAAGTTTTCTTTGTAACTACAACTTGTTTCGAAACCTAGTTGCAATATACTATGAAGTCTAATAACTTCTATAGTAGTGTTTTTCAGAGTTCTAGACTCTTCTAGACATTGTAGAGTGGGTGTGAATATATTGGTCTCTTGCTGAGATCCTTTACCATTCAATACTATCTCTTTGTACAGAAACGTCCTATTACATATGGCTTATGCCAAAGGTATTACATCTTTGAAGCCTAGTAACATTCTGAATAGTTGATGGGTTTACTCCGTTCTACTTCTCAGACCTAGCCAAAGGTCCCCTCTCATATAACCTGTAAAAAAGCTCCGGTCGGACAGATGGTAGAGATGTATATAGTATTATTCTGATACCTTCAATTCTATGGTATTATAGTCACAGGACGTAACTGAGATTGATACGTATGATGATGTGCGGGCCCATAAGGTGGCCAGATGGGGGTGTTGGAGACCGGAGATTCCGATTCCGGGTGAGGTTACTTTACTTAAGGTGACTCCTGGGTATCAGATCTCGGTATTCCTAACAAGTTGTATGTAAGGTAGCTTGCTCAGCAGTTAGTTGGTCTGCGTACCTTTTATAACTTGTGAAATACAGTCCGCAAATCTCAAGTCAACTGATTAAGCTGTTTTACCGATTAGTGAATATTGCAAGAATGTTTGGGTGTCCTGTGAAGATTAAAATCATCCACATTTCTGTACCGCTTAGTTGTAGCTGGAGGAACTGGGTGAGAGGCAGATTTTGATAAATGAAGTTGTGAGGAGTTGATAGTTTTGCTTAGATTCCAAGGAAATAAACTAGCTACAGCCCAGCCAGCCTGTAGGATGCAAGTAATAAAGGTTTCCTCACGTACTTTCTGATATCCCTAAATGAGGTAATGCTTCTTTACTGGAGCAGTATCATCAAGGCGAACAAGGTCAGCGGTTTCCTTCCTATAGTGTGAGTTCAGTGGTGAGAATGTTCTAAGGTATAAGGGCTGCAGAACATGACTGGAGTGGGCAGGAAGATATAAGATATCAAATTAGTTCTGCTTGCAGAGTCACATGAATTTGATTGCCATATGACTACCATGTCTATCTAATAGTAGAATACAATGTGCAGTTTGTCTGTCAAGAAAAGTCTGTACTGTTTCTGGTAGAAATAACTCCTTTAGCCACTGTAGTCCAATATTATTAGAAGTCTAGCCCTTCAATGTGGTAGTAATAAGCCAGTCAGGAATATCCTCTGCACTAAACCATGATATTTGCACATCTTTTTCTTTAAACATTACTTAGAGACAAATACAATGATTACAGGCATTGATTCCCTCAATAACAGAAACCCACTCTCTATTTTAAGGTAACTGAATATAGGTTTTCTTCTTTCCACTTGCTCCCAACACCCAGGAATTAGTACAAATACCCAAGGCAATCCTATGCTTGTCTATATTCTATATATTAGCCTACTGGATAGTGTGCCTAGCCTGAATTTTATGGAATCGCTTGTAAAAGTCATGGATGTTTTCAGGCTTGGTTCCTTTAATCTGAGCTACTTCAATTAGCCTGCCAATGATACTTCTGACACTAGAATTTCTTGTTATAAAGGTTGAAACCCATTGTTTGCCTAAAGGCTTAGTGTCTCTAGAGAGGTAGAGTATAAGGATTGCCATTTCTCTTGCACGAGAATGTGATAAAGCATAGCTACATGCTTTCTGTTCCAGAATCCAGGTACACAAATACTTTTCCTGATCTGGAGATAGGTATTATTGGTAAGAGTAGTTAGAGTGTACTGTGGACCCACCAGCCCAGTGACTTTGAAACGTTGATTGTGGGATGTCATAGTCACTTACTGCTTTTCTCTCTAAGGTGCCACTATCAATTACAGCAAGGGTTAAGGAATTTATCTCTTCCCAAATATCCATATTGAGGTTATTCTGCATGGAGTTTGTGATCATTTATGGTAGTTGAATACAGTTGTTATCATAGCTGAAAACCCCCTATGCTATTTTAATAAAGTGCTTGCATTTCTCACACAAGTGGTTCATCATCAATTACTCGAACAGTAGAGCTACCTTAATTATGACCACATGTCACGAATGTGGCTTAGCGAGGAAAAGGTTTTCACGTGACGTATAGTTATGAGTCACAGGTATGTTATTGTTTCACACATATGACTCATTAGGGTCATATGATT